TTTCCACAGCGGATTTCTCGTCATAACGGATTTTTTTGGTTGGAACCATGAATCCGCTGTGGCGAGGTTTGACTGTATTCAAATTTTTCAAAAAAAAAAGGGGACGGCTGTCCTATTTATATGTCTTGGATTTAATAAATAGACTACTGTCTTGGCCCGAGTGATGTCATTTTTTTGCTCTTTGCGGCAAAGAAGATGCAATCCCAAACCCGACTTAAAATAAATGAATATTTGTTCTCGCATAGAATGGTGTGCGTGATTTGTAACATGAAAAGCAAAAGCTCGCATTGCGTTCCCAGTTGTGAGCTTGTAATTGTTAACAACAATGAATCATCATTTTTTGGGGATGATAATAAAAATTAAGATCCGATTTTGTTACATGAAAATATTCAAATTTTTCAAAAAAAAAAGTGGGACAACTGTCCTATTTATATGTCTTGGATTTAATAAAATAGACTACTGTCTTGGCCCGAGTGATGTCGTTTTCTATGAAGAAGATGCAATCCCAAACCCACTTAAAATAAATGAATTTTTGTTCTCGCGTAACATGGTGCGCGTGATTTGTAACACGAAAAACATAAGCTCGCATTGCGTTCTCAGTTGTGAGCTTGTTAACATAAAAAATTACACAATTTTTGATATATGAGGCAAATGATAAACGTATTAACCCTTTTTGTTGAAAAATTCAATAAATATGGAAGGTTATATGCATCAAAACTATTAGCTAGAAATTTATTATGTTAAATATCAAATTAATCGGATTTTGTTACATTTTGTTACATGTGGTATTAAATACAATATAAAACCTTGGTTTATTAGTCGAACAATTCATCAACAATCAATATTTTAATCTCGACCTTTCTTTACTGTTGTTACTAGAAACTAACGTTTATAAATAAAAGATTATTAGTAATAATTAGATAGTGATTTCTGATTAATTTAGTAATAAAAAATTAATTCACCTTTGTTAAAATCAAGAAAAGAGTTAAGGTCAAGATCATTCAATGAACTATCATTACTTGAATAACTTTTTAAGCTTATTGATTTAGCAATTTCTTCATTTAATACTCTACTTTTATGATATGCACCTGGATGTCTACAAGTACCACTACCACTGCTGCTGCTGCTGTTACCATCATTATTAAAAATCATTTTTATTAAACCATTGCCATGATTTTTCAAACTTTCAGTTGTATGAACTTCTTTTGACTTTTTTACAGAAAATTCCCAAAGCTCTTCAGAAGTTGGTCTTTTAGATGGATCCCCATCCCAACATTTCTGCATCATTTGTGCATAATCATCAGGCATTCCTGATAATATTGGTGGTCGTTGACCTTCACATATACCAATAATTAAATGATAATTATGAGCACTATTGTCAAATGGTGGATGACCTGCAAATATTTCCCACATTAACATCCCAACACTATAAATATCTGTTTCTTTTGTGTTCTTTGGCTTTGTTACATGTGCAGGTGTATACGGATACTATTGTGAAAGAAAATTTAAAGTTAAAATATAATAATTTTCTTTCTCTTTTTTCTCTCTTTTTCAAATATTACCATAAAGGTCTCAAAATTCGGTCGCCACCATACACTTAAACATTCTCCAATTTGCCAATCTTCAACGGTGGATGGATTCACTGGTTCCAAACGTTCATTCAATCTAGCTTTTAATCCTTCAATCTCATCCTCTCCAGGTTTCAAATAATCACCAGGGCTAATTTAAAAATAAAAATGATAATAATGATTTTATTATTATCCTCACACACTCTCTTACGAATTCATAAAATGCAAACGCGCATTTAGCAATAGAGAGACCTACAGTTTAAAAAAAGAATTTGCTATTTGTAACATTAATACATGAGGGTGATTATGTTCATGAACCACCAAAACTCCCTCTACCGTTCTTCGCATACCAGTGGCCTCATAGTCATTTTGTAGACGTTGTAAACGAGCTGCTACAGATGGATCTTCTTCGGGTTGTGCTTCTTTTGTACCAAAAGTATAATTAACTATATACATTAACAAAAAATACACATATGCTAATTAATTACTCCCAATTCACACGCACAGCATATATATTTGTAAGGCTTTCACAATAGATTTTTTTTTTTTTTTTTTTTTTGTAAACCTACCTAGAGGATATCTTTGGATATAAATTTTTTTTACAAGTTAACCTTTTTTTATTGATTTTTATATTGTGAAGAATTATAAGGTGAATAGAGAGCCCTATTATTATTACTTACAAGGTAACTGTAGGATTTGTTGATGACATGTTGAGATCTATATATTATATATAAGCGTTTCTAAATAAAATTTTTTTTTCAATTCTTAATCGACGATCTGTCTATGATTGGAGATGTTGATCATTTTATAATAATTTGCGGGGATTCATAATAACGTGCCCTCAAAGAGGTTTTTTATTTTCTTATAAAATGTTAAAAAAAGGCATGTATATATTCTTTGAGATGTGTTTTTATCTCGTAAAATAAAATAAAAATGAATCAAGACATAATTTTTTTGTGATGGAGAAATCATACAAAAAAA